CCCCCCAAATTAAACAAGTGCTAGGATTAGTTTTCATGTTGTTGTCCATTCCTTTGTTCCCTGCTAACCAGATGTAAGTCTGACAGCCAGGTACACGGACAGCGAATGCTTTCTGAATCTGTGGCTGCAAAGTAGGTTGAGCCTAGGTATCCCAAACCCGATATTAGTAAAAAGGGTACCCTTAGTATTGAGGGGTTACTGGGGAACCCTAAACCCTTAACCTAGAGAGATTTTGGGCTTGCCCTGGATACTCCTGCCTCAAGCAGCCCTGCAGCTAAACCCAAGTAGACCTTACTTGTAGGAAGCCCAAACCCAAGTGAGCTATGGTCTAAACTCCTTGAGGGGGCTATATACGGGGTCATATAGGGGAGTAATATGGGGGTTGTCAAGGGGGATACTGGGAGTTTAATTTTACTACTGACTATAGCTCAAGTATCAAGTAGACATTAAGCTGTGTACATGCCAAGGGCTTGAGAAACCCCCAAGCCCAATCAGCAGCTAGGTTGGTTCTTCCTTTGCTCGGGGTGGTAAAAGGCATCGGGCTCACCAACGCATTTACAAACTGCGGTCGCGTTGGCTTCGAGACAGCCGAGAAGGGCGAACTCCTGAAGGACCTCCGAAGTTCTGAACACTGCCAAGCCTCCACTAACGAAGTTAGGAGCCCTTGTCCCCAAAATACCCAAAATAAGGAGAAACAATGTCGGCGTCTGTGCTTGGGGTTCCCTACTTATGGAAACCTCCACATGGGTAAGCAGCAGAATCCATACGCCGCGTGACCCATTGGTTATCATGCCGCAAACATGATATTTCTTGCATTTGTCAAGGAGCAGCCCTTCCACAGCCAGAGGTATTCCACCGGCTACGGCCTGAAGCTTCTGCGTGAGGCCATGCACTACAACAAGTCTTGGTTGCCGGATCACAACTTTCTCAGCAGCCCTGAGGACGCTTTTCAGGCAGATAAATCTCCCACTCGAGAGGTTCAAGACTACAAGGCCATGTCACACTGTGAATACCTACGCTTGAAGCCCTTTGACACCCGCCACGCAATCCTGTGCGCACGGCATTCGCTGCTCTGTGGAAAACGTGGTGGTCTGCTGCTCCCCACACAGAAGGATGATCAGTGTGATGCTTGCCTGTGGGTAGCAAGGAATGAGTGAACTTATGGCAGTCAGTATACAATCCCAATAATAGAGCAGTTTCCATGCTCCTTCCCTAAAGGTCCAAGTACTAATCGTATACTTACCCAACCTTGCACTATATTTATTATTACCCAATACTCAAGTACCCAATTATTGTTTACTTGGACCCTTAGGGTTTTCCATTCGATGAATGTAAGGCTCTTGCTTCCGGAGCCCTGGGATCCCACCCAGATCTCGGCTTAAGCGACCTGTTCAAGGTCAGCAAGGAGAGGGTGGAATGCATTGAGCTCCTATGCTCTTACGGTGGCTACAAGAGACTGGGTTGCTATTAAGGAACTTAACTTAAGATCCCTACCTATAGGGGAAACCCTATTATTTACTATACTATACCCATTATGATGACTTAATTGATGTTCTTTCATAGCAAACCAGGAAAGGGGCTCTCCAATTGCATCCGGACCGGCTCATCGGCAGACCCGACCTGACAGCGGAGGAGAAATCTGAGAAAACTGAGCAGTTCAAAAAGATGGTAAACTGCAAGGACAAGTATTCGGATCAGTGCTAGTCATCCTTTATTCTTTTTGTGCTCACTTTTCTCAAGGTTAACCCTAAACCCTAAACCCTAAAAGAGCCCATAAAACCCTGCACCTCATATAGCTGTAACCCGCCTAGCCCAAGGCTCCAGATCGCCCCAAGCTGTGTATGGATCCAGGTATCACATTATTGTATTACTATATTACATTATCTTATACTATATTATACTATATTCTACCATATTCTACTATATTATGCTATGTGGACCAAGGTATGACCTCATGCTGGACTCTGCAGAGGAACGGGATGAGGCCTGCAACTGAGGGCATTCCGACAAAGGAGACAGGCAGACAGCTTTGCTCTTCAAAAAGTGGTTTTAGGGTTTTAGGGTTTGGGGTTTAGGGTTTTAGGATTTTGGGTTTAGGGTTTTAGGATTTTGGGTTTAGGGCATCTGCTGTTGGACTTACTAGGGTCTGTAGGGTTCGGTTTCCATGTTTGGGGTAGCCGCTTCCTGGAAGGTGGCTGACCAACGAACATGTGAGTTCTCTCCTTAAAACCGGCCTCCAAGTAGCTCAAGGTGGGCACTCCCAAAACCGAGGGTTCCAGCTCGGGACCCCCTATGAGAAGGGTTACAGTTTGTTGGCGGTATACATAGGGACTGCTGCTTTTTAGGGCAATGCCCGTGTGTAGGCCAAGAGATGTCATGCGAGCTACAGTCAACCCTCACCTTTAGGGCCCAGAGTATACAGCTATCAGGCACTCCCAGAGATGTTGAGACCACTGCACAGATAGATGGGGACACCCTAAGAGACAATGGCCTTGAACAAGGCCCACCAAAATTGCAACATAGTACTGGGTACCCTTTGATGAGTTCCACAAGTTCCAGAAACAAATGAGTGTGATGCCAGCTCATCAAATCACTACACACCCGGTATAATCCCTATGAGCACCCAAGACTTTCCCAAACCAGAAGTTCCCGAAAGTTCAATCTGAAACTGGATCAATTTTAGGGATCCTTTAGGGCTATGTTGGGGTTAGGCAGGGTAATATAGGGATAGTGGACAGTAAAATGGAAACTACTAGTTAGGGCTTAGGGATGTTTAGGGTTTAGGGTCAATGTTAGGGATCCTGTAAACCTTTTGGAGTATGGGATTCCTGATATTCATATGTTAGTTTCCCAAAATAGGGGGACCCAAATATAGACCCCAATATACGATAGTCCTTATTATAGGGACCCCCAAAAACGGCACCCCCAATTTTGGGGAACCCCCATATGACAAGGACACCTTTTTTTCTTCCAAGGGTAATGTGGGCTAAGGAATGGTGGTTAGGAGGATGACCGGCTTTGCTTACCCCAGCCGGAAATTTTAAGGTTAGAAGTATGGGCCCCTAATATGGGCCCTTAAGCCTTTTTAGGGATCCTTAAGGGTACATGTAGGGTATATAGTAGGTATGTAAGGATCTCAGGGTTAAGGGCCTATACTAAGGGCCCATAGTTTCAACCTTAGAGAAATCCTGCAATCGCCACCTCTAAGGGTCTGGGGCCGTTCCCCCTAGTGTATGTAATTAGACAGGGGGCTATATCCCAAAACCCAATGCAAAACCATGACCCGACGACTCCTAACCCTCCAGCTACACTTAATGTATATTAATTCCTGAATACTGCTTTGTCAATGCTACTTTCCTTTAGTGTATGTAGAAGTACAGCAGGAAAGTATCCCAAACCCAATTTCTGATTGTTTAGGCCTCGCATTCCTGCAGTACTCTGCGGCTGTTGCATCTCCAGAAGCGGTAGTGGGTCTTAGGGGGTCCCTGGCGACTCATCGGACCTCAAGGCGGTCCACTGAGGCGCTTTCTGTAGGGTCAGGTGTGTCAAAAGTACTTTGGGCTTTGGGGGGGTTCATTTCCAATTTTGGAATGCAAGGTTATAATGTAACTGGCAGTCTAAGTAGTCGTCATGAAGGCTTGGGGTTTAGAGTTTAAGGTTCTGCGCTTGAAGTTTAGGGTCCAGGGCATAGGTTCGGGGTTTGGGGTCCAGAGCTGAGGATCTAGGATGTAGGATTTAGAGCTTATGTAACTCTAGATAATATGGTAGTTTCCCTTTTCTTTTCCATTATCCCCATAATACCCCAATATCATAGAGTAGTTTGTGGGTTCAAAGCCCAGGCTCAACTAGACGACCCGTCTTGTACAAGCCCAAACCTGCCAAACCGGTGACAGCTCGCGAATCTTTTTGCAAACGTGAATCAAATGGAAAAGAAGGTTTAGGGTCCAGGGGTCCAGGGGTCTAGGGTTTAGGGTTTAGGGTCAATTCGGAAATGGATCCCTGCAGTAGATATGACCCTCTCCATCGCCGATTTGATGGCTTTTGTCACGCCAACTGCCATAGCCAGGGCCCTATACCTTACTAGAGTCGTTTGATGACCGTGAGGTCTTCAATGCAGGTGTTGCGGTAACCAACATCCTCTGACAATAGTAGCACCCCGTAATCCCTCCCGGTCTCCCAAACCGTGTTGGGGATGTTGCGTGCATTGCTGTTTCCATTACAGGGGAAGTCTGTAATTAGAGATACCCGTGTTGCAATAGGAACCCATAGAGAAAAAGATGGATACGGACCAGTGCCTTATGGGTCGCATGATTAGTGGAGTTATTGATTCAGTACTTTCAGAGGACTACAAAACAAGGCTGCCTACTGTCGACGAAGAGCCCTCTTACCTACTGGTTCTTAGGCAGAAACAAAGGAATACATTAAATGGGGAATAGATATAGGGGTTACATTCCCCTATTCCTACTCGCAACCAGTAACTCTTACAAGTCCTTGACTTTGATCGAATGTAGTTATCCTCAAAATGGCGAAAAGTGGTACCAAACATGCAAAATAGATTGGACACTAGGGGTATATGGCGGTATATGGGGATTATTGTCAACATTGCGGTTCCAGGTTCCTTCTATGATAATGCTGTAGGTACGCCATTGAGGCCCCTGTAGTAGTTCCAGGATACCAGGTGTTGCAAAGCTACGGGTTTTTGGCTTAGGGTTTTCCATCAAGACCCTGAGGGTCCGAGGGATGTGATTATCAACTAGGTGGCACTTTGGGATGATTAATAGCTTCCCTGTTGTGGGGTAGGGGAAGCTATTCATAAATAGTTTTGGGGGCCTTTAAAGCACGACCCAGTCAAATATTCCCAAAAACCCTAAGATTTCTGCTTAACAGCTCCAAAGTACATGAGTGTGCTATACTGGAATGTTCTACCTGTGCTAGCTGTGGCTGACGACCCATCAGAATCACCTACACTATGTAATGGAAGGATGCTGGCTGCACTGAAAATGGGGTTTACGGTTCATGTTAGGAGTACCCCCCCACCCTGTAATACTGCTGATGGATGGAATCTTGCACCACCTTAAGTCCCTAAAGTCCTGGGAATTACAATAGTTTAGGGCCACTAGGTGGTGCAAGATTTCCTCCATCAATAGTAGTGGTAGAATAATAGGCAGATAAGAGGACCGTGATATAATCCTTATTATCCTTTCTAGTCACTACTACAGGGTGGTGAGTCCACCTGAGGTTGATGGTTTGTGGGGTTTGAGGTTTAAGGTTTTGGAGGTGGAAGTTTGAGCGCTGTCATGGTCATGAAGAAATACTTGGGAAACTCTACATGCGCGTGGCACATAAAGACTGGAGGGTCCAACGACCCAAATAATGGGATTTGAGGGTCCAAATACTGTAATATGAATGGTCTTTGGGCCCTGAGACCCCATTATTCGGGTCCTTGGACCCTTAGGGTTAGGATTTAGGGTAGCCCGAAATCACGGAAACGAGGTTCTGAATCAACTTCCACGCCGTTATCCCTAGTGGCGTAGACCTTGAACCTACCCCAGTTGAAGACGTTGAAAACTGGCGCCACGCCAAGACGCCAGCATTGTGCTAGCGCTGCGTTAGCGAACAAGCAACAAGTCAGCGAAGCCTTTGTGATATAGATTAGAGTCCGAAGCAAAGACCCTGGAAAGTGTTGTAAACTACACCCAAGATATTAGGACATTTCTAAACGTGAAAACAACAAGCAATCTACCCCCACTACATGTAAGAAAAAGCCTTGAGGGAACCCTGGAAGGATGAACGAGTTGTAGCTGTGTCCTTCCCCACTGTGAGCAATCGCGTCCTCTACGCGTAAACACCCATTGACCCCTTAATTTAATTGTGCCATGCAATAATATACTGGCGCTGCTTGAGAGAATAGGTATGCTGCTTCACAGGGTTCATGGGTTCATGTAGCCAACATCATATGCTTTCACAAAACCAATACAAGACTCCTTAAGGGTCCAAGGACCCAAATAATGGGCTTTCAGTCCCAAATACCGTTAATATTATGGTATTTCGGCCCTAAAAGCCCATTATATTCGTCCTTGCACCCTGAGGGACTAGCACCACCCCAAAATCCAACTGCAGGGAAAGGGACCCCTAAGGGCCGAAGTGATCTAGAAGTGGCGGGGGCCGAAGGTCAGCCAGACTGTTGACATCATGCACACTCGTGTCCTTCCGTCTTGTTTGCCCCTAAACCTCAAAGCCCTAGACCCCAAAACCCCAAAGCCCTAAACCCCCTAAATGCCCCTGAACCCTAAACCCATGTCCATCTGCCTTGTTTGCTCCACATCATTGCTGACAAGTTACTGGCGGCGTAAGGGGACCTGGCGGAGTGAATACCTATTGGGGTTTATAGGGATAGCGGAAAAGAAAATGGAGACTACGGGGATTATAGGGGTTATATTCGGATAATGGAAAGAAAATGGAAACTACTATTTTGGGTTTAGGGTTTGGGGCCTAGGGTCTAGGGCCTAGGGTAGTTTAGGGTTTAGGGCACAAACAGTTACCGATCTTATGATTCCTGATTCTTTATAGAACTTTAGTATAGGACTCCTGAAATAAACGCCAACATGATAGTGGCAATTATTTAGGCCCTTGTGTTTTTTCAACCAAGCTGGGGTAGGTTGTGGAATCAGCCCTCTAGGAGTAT